CGGCACGCTTCGCCAACGCCACACGGTGTCCCAGGCGTTCACCCATCCTAGTACTACCCGTGGCGTTGGCGTTGCGAGTAAATGGCTCTTTACCAACGTTTTTCTTCCATATTACCGGATTCCACTACTCAAGCATCGATCTCGTTCTCTTGGTCTTCGACGTCGCTCGACGACTCATTAGCAGGATAATTAGTTTCCTCTCTTGACAAATTTTGATCTCTGTTGAGATGCGATCTCTAAAAAAAAAATTCTTAACTAATCCAAGTATCGAAAGTGTATCATCGCGAACCGAAAAAATTGTATAAATTGATTAAAAAATAAAAAGAACTTTATCTCCTTTTCGGAAATTAACAAGTTCCTTATTTTTATCTTAATTTTTTAAAAAATAAAAAGAACTTTATCAAGAACTTTATCTCCTTTTCGGAAATTAACAAGTTCCTTATTTTTATCTTAATTTTACACGACACGTTCAGCCAGCGGCTTTATCCCTTCGGCGGTTACAGTATAAGCGAGGAATTGAATTTCGCGGACGCCGAATTCGCACTTCGCGGAATTAATAACGACCCCGTAGACGTTGAGGCGTTGAAACAGGACCTGCAAGTTCTCGCGATGTTGTTCGTCATTCTCAGAAGCTACGAGTAAATCGTCTATGTCTGTGGCCTCCTCAGCATCGCCTCTGTAATCAGGGGAGTGGGAGTCTATGTTCCTCCTGTGGCGTGCCGCACGGAGTATCGGGGCAGCTCCCACACCGGACAGAGTTCCAGGGTGTGCTGCGCCATGTCCCTGTCCTCTCCGCAGTGGTGGCAGATGTCTGTCGTCTCCCGTCCGATTCTCTTCAGAATCTCGCCGAACATGCCGCGTCCGGTGAGCATCTGCGTCATTCTGAATGTGAGCGGGAGGCCGTGGCGGCTTCTCCATTCCTCCCAGTTTGAGAAGACCGCATCAGCGGTTCCTATGTCGTTCGGAGCAGCCTGCTCTGTCGGATCTTCTCCCGGATGCCATACTCTCCGGTGGGTGTATCACTTTTTGAGCGCTAGCGCCCGGAGCTCCCACCCGGGGGGG